AAATACTGACAGTTTGCAATGTGCTTACTAATCCACTTTATTAAAGGTTTAAACAAAGATTAAGAACAAAAGAGATATAACGATATGCTAATGAAAGTAAGTCTTCAATACCTACAAAGAGCCGCATTTCGTTTTATATTTTTTACGGAATATTGACCACGTTGGCTCATTTTGTCATTTTGTTAAAGGGATTGTGTTTTGAGAAAAGAGATTTTAAATCAGTGACCATAAGATTTGGTTTTGAGAATTTACGTATTGGGGATTTTTTTTTTTTTGGGGGGGGGGGGGGATGTGTTTTGGGGATTGTATTTTTTGTGATTTTTGGGATTATGTTTTAGGGATTATGTTTTTGGGAATGTAGTTGTGGACATTGTTTCGAGTTTTCTAAGTGCAATGTGGGATCAAAGTTTGGGGGAATTTTAGTGCATATAACAACATGTTTTTTAAAAAACGTTATGTTTATATATTTCTGCTTTGGCTTTAAAGAATGGAAAAAAATGTAACATTTAGTCAACGTATACGTTTTAAAAACTATTATTATGTACTCGTGTCAATTTCTTTGTTGCAACGCTTGGAACAAATAACTAAATTTAAACTGAGCAAATGCGATTTACTAAATTACCTAACAAATACTAAAACATTACGATTTTTAAAAAAATCTTGTACGAAGTGGCTTGTATCTCTTGATTCAACGTTTACGTTTCTTCAATGAAGTCGATGAATTCACATACGTAATCATATAGGGCATCGCATGAAATATCAGCAGAACAGTTGAGAACATTCGTCATAATTGTGCAATCCTCACTCAATCTATAGCTGTTCGGTTCTCCTTAAAAAAAAAAAACATGGTTGAAATTTAAATTAAAATATTTTCATTCAATTGCTTTTAGTACAACTGCTTTCCATTTGACTTATGTTATGCATTTTTTTTTAATTTAAATAAAAATGTAACTTTACTAAACAGTAATAAAAACATAATGGAGAAAATTGTTTAAACATGTAATATATGTAATTTATTCTATGGTATTCGCAGTGTCGTTTTAAAACGGGAGTTGAGCAAGGGCTCTCAAAGTAATAAATTAATTGTTTGTAGTGAGTATTTTTTTTTTATTTTAAAAATTCAGCTAATCCCACTCACTATTACAGACAGTATTCATTATCTTTTACTTTTTGTGCCCAAGACACACGGGGCAGCACAGACTGTATTAGACTTTAAAGATGAAAACGTGTTCTCCGATCTACCTGCACAAAACAGTTGTTGTTTCCAGCTGTCGTCCAGAACTGTCCCATCGTCCTCCCACACAAAGGTACCCTCTACCGCAATGTCGTTGAGACCAGTCCAAACTTCCTTACCTTGAATACTCGGAATGTGTTTCAGAGCTTCCACTTTCGCCGCGGTTTTTGTAGAGTACAGTTGTGCGTTATTGCCTACCAAAAGTGAATATATATAAATAAAGAAATAAATAAATAAAGAAATAAAGAAATATATATATATATATATATATATATATATATATATATATATATATATATATATATATATATATATATATATATATATATATATATATAAAATGTTGTGCACTTTTATGAAATACGTATATTATTTCCTTATAGGTTATGAGTTAATTAAGCTGTTAGGGTAGACCGCAATATAAGTTAGATTCAAATTATTCTAATAATCAGAATTTCATCGCCGACAAAAAGGCGGGGGGGGGGGGGTCATCCATAAATGATGTCATGCTTTTGTCGAGTTTTACCTCCCACCGCTCCACATCATCACTAAAAGCCAGACACCGCCCCTCCCCTCAACTATCTTAGCCCCCTTTCACACTCGTCACAAAATAACTTAACCCCCCCCCCCTTCCTTACTTGTAGTGTGACGTCATTTATGAACAGCACCTTGCTAAAATAGCAAGAACGGTACACTCACCTCTACATCTATTTTTAGCAGCAGCGAATGTTTCTCTCACACCTGGGACCCACACACAAACGGTGGTCATATCACCCTTGATTAACTGCCACCCATGACTCGAGCTGCAGGGGATTCTATATCTGTAGGTCAACAGGGCCGGCACTGGAGTTGGTGAACCCACGAGTTCGGATCCTTTTAAAACATAGCAGTTGCTAATAGTTACAGCACTTATATATTATATATATACGAGCCGGCCCGCGGCATAACATACGCCGCTATTTAGTTGTTTCTAATTTTCAATAATTCATAATTTGTGAATTCGACAGTACCAACGCTGACACTGAAAATATTTCTTTAAAACACTATAAGTAGCTCGTTAAGGACCATAACCCCCCCCCCCCCCTTCCTTCCCTCCCCCCCTCCCCCCCCCCCCCCCTACGTTTAAAATCGTTGGCTCTGCTTGTAAACATTTAGAGTGAACACAGCTCACTAAAACCATGTAGGGGTGGGGAGGTAGGGAGAGCGTTTGCAGCTTGTTTTCTAACGGCTCGAAGAAGAGAATTATATATATAGATAATATGATAGCATTAGGTTTAGAAATAAGCATTACTGGGTTTTCATCACTCGCCCAAGACCGAATGTATATATGGTTTAATTAATACACTACTTCTTTATATAATTTCTTTTAAATCGGTGACCACAAAACCCTTTCGTTTTAAAATAACTTTAAGCATTAAATTATTTGCGAGTTAGGAATATTAGTGGTTTTTATCAGTGGCGTAGCTAGGATTTTTGGGCCCCTATGCAAAAAGTGTTAGTGGGCCCCTCGGAGGCGTAGCGACCGTTCCCGGCGACCGGGGACAAACTTTCGATTTGCACCATCCCCCCCCCCCTCAGACTTTCGATTTTCACCCCCCCCCCCCATCAGACTTTCGATTTGCACCCGCCCCCCTCAAACTTTCGAAAAGGGCCCCTATTTGCCTTGGGCCCCTATGCCTTGCTTACGCTAGCTTTACGGTAGCTACGCCACTGGTTTTCATGTCAATTGATGTTAAGATTGTAGTTTATATTTATTTTTTAATTCAAGTATTAAGCGATGAGATTTATGCGTCATCTAATTTTTAATTAATGCCTTCTCGTTTACAGGGACGTACTAGACAAGTAGGACAATTAACACGAGGTTAAAAATATTTACCCAGACTTTACCTCTCCTGCAGCATATGACATATACACGTTAATACGGTACGTAACGACACATCATTTATTTCTAATTAGTTTAGATACACGCCACTTTGACATTTAACTATCAAATAGTTTTGTAGTACCTGTGTACTCTTCTTGCATTAAAAAATTAGGATTAAAATTCCGAAACAAAAAAAAAACAATATTTTACACAGAAACTCTAATATTAAAAAAAAATGTTTTATCTGCAAGTAAATGTGACACAGTCGCAGTCTACCTAGGCGGCATTCCTGGCTGGTCGAGTTGTACTGGAAACACTGGCACTGACTCAAGACGTCCAGACATTTGGCGGCACACTGTAGTAGACTCACGAGAGGATATACAAGTCCCAGTGGCTGGATGGTGAGGCTAGAGTTGAGTACTAAATCAAATCGGCTTTGGCGATCTTCGCAGTGCACTTTGTACAGCATATATATATATACATATATATATATATATATATATATATATATATATATATATATACATAGGAATACATGAGTCTATGAATTTAATTGGTTTGTCTATTTTAATTTTAGTGGATATTTTGCATTGTACATATGCATTCTTAAAAGACAAATACATTTTTAGCAAGGCACAATCTCACTCAGTTTCTTGTGTTATGATACGTTAAAGAGTTTTCAAGATAAATCAGTAAAAGTCATGATTTTATATAAAATATATACGTTTTGTTTTGTTTTGCTTTTTGTAGTGTAATTATTTATTTCCTATAATAACGTGTAAGTTTTTACCAAACTGTTTACAGAGAAGGTCAAGTTTTATTTTCAAATGTGCAAATAACATAATCAATTGTACTTACCTTGTACTAGAAAATAATCGATAGTTATAACAAAAATCATGAAAATTATCCATATTTCCATTTTTTTACTTATCTCAATAGATATCGTTAATTTTCGTATATTCAAATCTGACTTCTCGCAAATTAATTATCTTTTGAAAATATAGATTAGTATATAAGTCTTCTTTGTACTAGCGCTACTGGTGAAATTATGTGGTGTCTATATATATGCAGATGACACTTTAGAACCAGGGGTTCCAAAATTATAATTTGAGCTTAACTTATTGCATAACAGTTTGCTAAATAATACTGTTCTTTTAATGTAGATCAATTTTCTTATAAAATACGATACACAATTCTAATATTTGAATTTTTTCCATAAGTTGATTTTAGTGTCATTATCAGGTAGGGAGTCTAATGTCGCACATCGCAGACGCACTGTAATCGTCAATTAATTAAATATATCTCTAAGCCAACATTTAAAAACTAAATTCGATTTGTTAGGATCGATTTTCGTTCTAATGTTTGCTTAACGTTTTAGCAAAGTGGTTGTGCAGTAGAAATAAAAGTGAACGTCTCGGCAATGTGTTGGTAAATGTATTCAGGCAATTAGGACGTTGCGGCCATAAATGGTATACATCGGAATTGCGACGCCCCTGGGAGTCGTGTGTGGTTGGACGAGTTCACCCACGGCCACCTTAGACCTGGGGTCTGCTGGTTAGGCGTCCGGCACAGGGGATCAATAGCACTACTTGAATTAACGGTCAAATTACTATAGGGTGGTCATGTACCTTGGCGCTCCAAAATCACTCCTAATGACACTATGGCGCCTACATTGATTTAAAGAGCGCCCTACACTGGGTATACGGATGGCTAACGCATATGATGCCTAAATCGATTTAAATGCAGCTCCCTGAGCAGGGCGGCTTTGTAACAGGCTGCTTATTATTTCTGCATCTCTAAACTATTCAGACCATTGCCGTGACATTTTGGGAAGTTATTGAGTAACCTAAATGCACATATCTGACGTTTTTGGATGTTTATTAACGTATACTCAAGGTTTTCTCACGGCACACCTGGTGCGTCTGAGCTGTAGTGTGGACAACACACACTTGGGGCGTCTGGGCTGTAGTGTGGACAACACACACTTGGGGCGTCTGGGCTGTAGTGTGGACAACACACACTGGGGAGTCTGGGCTGTAGTGTGGACAACACACACTGGGGAGTCTGGGCTGTAGTGTGGACAACACACACTGGGGAGTCTGGGCTGTAGTGTGGACAACACACACTGGGGCGTCTGGGCTGTAGTGTGGACAACACACCCTGGGGCGTCTGGGCTGTAGTGTGGACAACACACCCTGGGGCGTCTGGGCTGTAGTGTGGACAACACACCCTGGGGCGTCTGGGCTGTAGTGTGGACAACACACCCTGGGGCGTCTGGGCTGTAGTGTGGACAACACACCTTGGGGCGTCTGGGCTGTATTGTGGACAACACACACTTGGGGCGTCTGGGCTGTAGTGTGGACAACACACCCTGGGGCGTCTGGGCTGTAGTGTGGACAACACACCTTGGGGCGTCTGGGCTGTATTGTGGACAACACACACTGGGGGCGTCTGGGCTGTAGTGTTGACAACACACCTTGGGGCGTCTGGGCTGTAGTGTTGACAACACACCTTGGGGCGTCTGGGCTGTAGTGTGGACAACACACCCTGGGGCGTCTGGGCTGTAGTGTGGACAACACACCTTGGGGCGTCTGGGCTGTATTGTGGACAACACACCCTGGGGCGTCTGGGCTGTAGTGTTGACAACACACCTTGGGGCGTCTGGGCTGTAGTGTGGACAACACACCCTGGGGCGTCTGGGCTGTATTGTGGACAACACACACTTGGGGCGTCTGGGCTGTAGTGTTGACAACACACCTTGGGGCGTCTGGGCTGTAGTGTGGACAAACTCATCCTCCTATTGACCAACTTGTAAAATATGCTATACCGACATATTTCGACTGCTTATTAACCGAAAAAAAAAATTGGTACTTAAGGATTACTGATAGCCCAAATTGATAACCATTGCAAATTACTTGATATTGTTTAGCATTTTTACCAGGGCCATCAAAATCTTTTGAATTCTGATATTTTCCAGTTTATCGCGTAGAGCGTTATTGTTGTTTGTTTTAAATCTTTGATGCAATGAGCATTCGTTATTAAATGGTCCAGTAATCGCAAACTAGCTTGAAAACAGACACGCGACAAAAAATACACCATTGGTAACTGTTACTTTTAACAACGTTATTGATGTTTTCTTTTAAGATTGCAACATCGAGTGACGGGTAGGTTGTTACTTATTAAAAACCATCGCGAAGAATATATTGCTTCTTTTAATTCCAATTTACGTATCAATTACATAATTCAGTTAAATGCCGGCATGCTATAATGTATGTTCTAGCCCATATGTTCCAAAACTGTGGCTCGCGAAGGGCTTTCTAGGGGTCGCTAACTGGTATACTAAATCCTAGCAATGATAAAAAAAACGAAATATTTTGAAGAATATCTGAAATTCCGCTTTACTAACATCACTAGAAACGAAATAAGAGGAAACAATGTTTACTGAGCAAAGTTGTTCTCAGCCATGAGTCTATGAAAACTTCAAAACTAAACTGCCATTTTGAGACGAGTCATTCGTAACAAACTAAAAAAGATATGGAGTTTTTTTCGTCGGCACAAAGCTTGTTGCAAACGTCAGAGACTTGATTGAACAGGAAGTATTCATCAGTGAAATGCAGCATTAGTGCAAGCATCATAAGAAGTCGGATTAGAAATTTCAAGCAAAAGACCTCATCAAACTCTGCATGCTAAAGATGGTGTAATTAATCCTTGGAGATTCCAATGCAGTAAAGATGAAACAAATATCTTTGTCTAATAAAACTACTCACCAGCTTATAGCAGACATGTCCGTAAATATTAAAGAACAAATTTTGAATGAAATCATGTGTATACATTCCTTGCTTCTCAAGTTGATGAATCAAAAGACTTGGGCTCTTTTTCGCAGTTGCTTGTCTTTGTGAAATACATTCATACAGACGATAGCAAAGAAGTGTTGCTATTTTGTGAAGAAATCATGGAGAAAATAAATAAGTTTTTTGAAACCGGATGATTAAAGTAGGAAAACGGCTGTGGAGTTTATACGGATGGTTCGCCATCTATGTTTGAGTAAAAATTTGGCTTTCAGATAAAATGTAAAAGATTTAGCTCCTTAACCAAGGGGAGTCCATTGCATTGTTCCCCGTATGCCCACGCCAGCAAGAACATTCCGACTCCATTGCTAATAAAAGTCGTAAATTATATTAAATCAGGAGCTGTAAATACCCATCTGTTTAAAGCATAGTGCAAGAACATGCATTCTAATCACGAGGTTCTTCTTTTCTACAATACAGTACGCTGGCTGTCAAAAGAAAATGTTGCGAATCGTGTTTTTGAATTGAAAGTCATGTTGTTGGAAGTGCAAGGGAAACAAGACCTTCTGATATATGTTAACGACAAGAGTAGTTGAAGAGAGTATCATAACTAGCCGATATATTCCAGCATCACCCTAAGCTTAATCTGAAGCTTGATGAAAAATAAGCAAATATTAACTCTTTTTATGATTATCACAGCAAAATTGGCGAAGAAAAATAAATCTTGGAAATATTGCCATGTTTAAAAAAAAACTGCAGAGTGGTAGGTGAATCTGACTGTGAGATAAATAACAATTTGAAAGAGAATTCTGAGCATCTTGAATCTCTTGAAAACGAAATGTTAAAAAAAAGAATAATCTGCATTGACACGTAACCCACTGTCTGTTTCCCTTGATGTTGCTAGCATTCGCTATGAATTACAAATGACCTCTTAAATTTGCGGAATGATTCCGCGTCACCAACCGCGTTGAACGAAAAACTGCTTACACAATTCACACATTCATACCCAAACGTGAAATCGATTGCTTTTCGGGTTTTAGTTCCTTTTGTGTCTACAGATCTATGTGAGAATAAATTCTCAACACTTCTTCAATCAAAAACAAAACAAAGGAATAAGTTCAATGTTGAGAATGACTTAAGGTTGGCGTTAACAAAAACTCAACCGCGAATGTCGAGGCTAGTTAATAACATGTAATTTCACTCATCGTAATAAAACCGTGATCAAGAATAGTTCATATTGGAAGTCAAGTAGAAATCTTATTTTATTTCTTATTTATTTCCTTGCTAATTTCGACTTTTAATTCTATGGGGATTGCGGGTCACTTTATTTTTATAAAAGGGGGGGTCGCCACTCGAAAAAAGTTTGGGAACCCCTGCTAGCAATTATTTGTTTAAATATTAAATTGAATTGTTGTTAAATGTTCTCAACAAAATCAATGACTTTTTCTTTAACTTCCTGGACACATTTCAGAGGCGTTTAATTATTTACTACTGGACACATTTATAGCTTGAGCTAAAACAAATCGGACTAAAGGTATCGATTCTTACAACGTATTTGTTTCGAAAACGGTGGTCCAGTTATATTTAATTAATGAACACTGTCAGGGAATCTAAAGCCTCGAGTTGTTGATATATCTACAGGTATCGACATTAATATTAATTTTCTTGTCAAACTAAATAAAATGTGTAGTATGTGCAAAACAATGTGCTTAAGAATTAAATGAACAGTATTTTATTTTTGTGAAACGTAGTGGAAATGGGTTAGTTTGACAGATAAATTTAGAACCGCTGATCTAGAAAACAACCCACGTCGTTTAAGTTAAGATGGCATTGTGGTATAAACAAAGACTTGAGTAGCCATGCAATGGGACTTCTACAACTTGGTTTCCAAAACATTAAACGTGGTATGTGTATGGCCGTATTTGCTGCTGCTCATCATATTTATTTTTCATTATTAACATTTTTTAAAATGGATAAACAGATGCTAATTGTGATGCTCATTACCAGCGGTAATTACTTTATGTTACAGTGTAAGTATAGTTCTTATTTTTTATAACATTTTAAACTTTAACCATCTCCCTCAGAAATCGATTAATTAAACAGGGGAAATGTCGCAAGTCCACAGTCAATTAGAAAATTTCTAAGTCAATGAAAAACATTAATGTGGAGCAGTGGCGTAGCGAGGTCGGGTGTCACCCGGTGCGGCACTTAATGGTGTCACCCCCCCAGAGGCATAGAGACCCTTCCCAGGGACAAACTTTCAAATTTTCGATTTGCACCCCCCCCCCCCTCAAACTTTCGATTTGCACCCCCCCCCCCTCGAGTTTTCGATTTGCACCCCCCCTCAAACTTTCGATTTGCACCCCCCCTCGAGTTTTCGATTTGCACCCCCCCCCTCAAACTTTCGATTTGCACCCCCCCCCTTGAGTTTTCGATTTGCACCCCCCCCCCCCCTCAAACTTTCGATTTGCACCCCCCCCTCGAGTTTTTCTCTATATATTTTGCTATTTTTTGCCTTGGTGTCACCCCCCTAAATGGTGTCACCCGGTGCGGTCCGCACCCCCGCCCCCCCCTCGCTACGCCCCTGATGTGGAGTTAACTAGTTTTTTGTTTCAATTATCTAACCTAAATCCCGAATCATGCTTAAACCAAGCATGTAGTTTGAGATTTATGATTATTAATATTTATTTATTCTGAATAATCGGACTTGTGGCTGTAGGACGCCACTGAGTCAACCCAGCTCTGATGGGTACCTGACTTACGTTGGGAAAGTAAAGGTGGCTGGGCATAGTACTGAACACAACATCCCTTTATATGCCGTGGTCAAGAAACATATGAACTCTTCTTTATCTGCCTAATGGATGGCTATGTGTAAAGAGGCATGTTCTATTTATTTATTATAGACACTATTAACTAAATAATTGTGTAACTCTAAAAAAATTATTCTTTTTGAAAAATGTATGTTATAAGTGAGTCGAATCAAGCTATCACTAAATGTTTGCATAGCATCTCCACCTCTTTTTGTTTATGTAAACATTTTTTTATAAACACTATCTATATATCATATTAATACAATTGAAATGCTTCTAAATAATATACAAATCCATAGCGCAATGTAGTGAAAATCAAGGCCAGTACAAAACTGTGTTCCACCCCATCCTTACAATCCAACCACTGGAACTTGTATACCAACCTGTGACTCGTGTTCAATGTGCTGCCAAATGTCTGAGCAGCCTGCTGCAGTGCACGTGTTTCCAATACAATAAAAGCAACCTGCAATGTAGTCTAGGTAAATCAAAATTCTTAATTTCGCTCGCATGAGGCTAAAATAATGTGCCGTTAAGCTGAATCAGCAGCTTGCGATATAAAAACGCTGAAGGACAATCGTGAATCTTGTCTGTCAATGACTAACGTTTCTATCAAGGACTGAAAGATTGAATATATGACACCAATGCAAAAACTAATGGCTTACACAGCATAGTATTTTAACATTAAAATGTTCTTATCTAATGGAGACTTTAGTTTCCGTAAATGAGGGGATGTTGAATGTAAGACTATATAATTCCGTGTTTGTATAAAAATGTGTCAATTTTTCATGGCAATCAAAATATTTGTAATGCAACAGTTAATTTACTGTAATGTAAAGATATGTTGTTTTTTTTAATTGGAATACCAGAGGCGTAGCGACCCTTCCTGGCGCCAGGGATAAACTTTTCGATTTGCACCCCCCCCCTCAGGATTTTGATTTGCACCCCCCCCCCCTCAAGATTTCGATTTCCACCCCCCCCCCTCAAACTTTCAATTTGCACCCCCCTCAACATTTCAATTTATTTTTCCAACCCATTTTGGCGCCCCCTAAGGTCGGCGCCCGGGGACATATGTACCCCCCGCGCCCCCCCCCCTCGCTACGCTACTGTGGAATACAAATAGAATATAATTTCTTGGAACTAGTTTTATTATTTATTAAATCTTAGGTTCGTGAACGTAAAAGCAACATTTTATTAG